GGTGTCAACTACGGCACTGACTATCCCTCCTGTTATACTAAATTCCCTACCCGATATCCTTAAAACTACATTCTATTCGATGATAAAGAAGATACAAGGGAAATGTATAGTGCATTATAAGTGAACTCTGAAACTATAAAAACGACTAAAACCAATGAAATCAGCGATATAGTGTTTGGCTACCTGCTTTGCAAGAGGCCATATAACCAACAAAAAAAGAATAAAAGGATTCAGGGTTGCCACAGGTCAGGGAAATCAAGAAAAATTTAGGGAATTTTATTAAAAGTATTGGAAAAAATTTAATTTTTAGAAATCATAAGAAAATTCTAAATTTTGGTGTCTTTTTTATTTGCGTCATTAACTATATGAAATTACCATGAATTCTAATACAAAACCTTCAATTTTTTCTATTTCTGACAATAATTTACGTTTAATTAACTTAATTCTTCTCTCTAAATCTGAATCAGCGAAATTTCACTGATTCTCAGCGATAAGTATGCCACTATTTTAGAACAGCGTATATGCGCTAATTAATCAGTGAAGTTTCACTGATTATTTAGTGAAATTTCACTAATTCACAGCGCATATACGCTAATTGAAATAGTGGCATACTTATCGCTGATTCAGATTTAGAGAGTTGAAGAACTATCATAAAATTATTATTTAGAAATTATTTAGTGAATAGCTTAAATATTTCAAAATTAAATGAATTTTAAAAGAGCTGAGTTTACAATTTTCATAAGTAAATGAACTTCAAAATGAATTTAATTAGAAATTTTAAAGAACTTTAATTTTTGAAACATTTTAATAATTCAAATTCTTCTGAAATTAAAAAAATTGTATTTTTGAGAAGTTGCAAATGATTGCAGAAATTCAATTAAGTTCTAAAAATTTTTTTAAATTCTCCTAAAAGTTTCAATTATCTTTAAAAAAAATAAAATTCTTTTCCGAAATTCAACTATTTTCAAAAAATTTCCTCAGTTCAATGATTTTTAATATAGCTACTTTAAATAATAAAAATTTTACAGGAATTCTTTTATTTACAAATTTTTTATAAATTTCTTCGTAATAATTCAATTATTTTTATAAATAATAAAATTTTTTACAGAGATTCAATTATTTTCATAAATAATAACGTTCTTCTTAGGAATTCAATTATTTCCATAAATAATAATACTCATCGCAGAATTTCAATTTTAATAAAATTCTTCGAAAAATGTAATTATTCTTAAAAAAATTATTAAAATTCTTTATGAGAATTCAATTTTAAGAGTAACATTCAATTATTCAATAAATTATTTATTTTTGTATTTAAATAATTTAATTCACGTAGAATTTTCTAATAAAAATTGATTTTAAAATTAATTTTAGTTTAAATTTTAGATAATAATTAAATATTAAAATCATTATAGCGTGAATTTTTAGAAATAATTGAATTTTGAAAAGGTTTCAATTTAAAATCTTCGAAAATATGAATTTTTCATACTAAATGTTTAATTGAATTTTTAAAAAAAATTATTTGGAGTTTTTATTTTTTTAATATAGGGGACAGTGGGGCAAACCGGACCCCTCTCAATATTTCCGAAATGGCGAAATTGGAAAAAGTGTTGTTTACAAATTTACAACAACCATGTTTAATATACCTTATTTTTTCAATCTGACAGTTTTAGCTTGCGTTTGTGCGACGAAGGGAGCAAAAGTTTTTTTTTTTTAGTTTTTTTCTACACTTTTACGAATTTTTTCTTAAAGAAATTTTGAGGAAATCGTGTAATATTTCCAAATATTAGGTCTTGGGTTTTGAAGGTACACACCTCAGGAATATTTACCACAAAAAACTTTGATGAATTTGCAAAGCTTTTTTTTTTTGTCAAACATTTATTCTCAAAATGGGCCTGTGGGGCAAACTGGACCGTTTTCGGTGGGGCAAACCGGCCATAGGATATTTCCATTGAATTAAAGTTTCATAAAAATTATTTTTAAATAAAATGTTTCTTTCATTAAAATATTTACTTACAATGAAAAATAATTGTCTTCCAATGAGAATTGGACCCTTTAATATTGTTTCTCTGATAATGACAAACATTTTTACTTTTTTATTAAAAAAAATATTTATTTAATTAAAATTCAATCCCGTATTATTATTTTCATTACTACAACCATTGTTTCAATGATTCGTTATGCTTTTTATTATTGTAGATTATGTAAATGCAATATTATAAATAAAAAAAACAAACGGTCCGGTTTGCCCATGGGGGGGTCCGGTTTACCCCAGGGGTGGGGCAAACCGGACCGTTTGCAAAATTTTTTAAAGTTAACACAGCAACTAAACAATAAAAGATAAAGTATAGGTGTCTCTGGGAAAAAGTTGCGCAATTAAATGATTTTTCAAACAAACCATCGAAAAATGAAATCGGTTGATTCGTTTAGTCACAAGAGTCAAAAAACCGTTAGGGGGTCCGGTTTGCCCCACTCTCCCCTATATATAGGTATTTAATTAAAGAATTGCCGAATAATCAAAATTTCGTAAAATTGAATTGTAAACAAATGTATTTGAAAATTCTTAAAGAACTTTTTAAAACATTATTAAAAATAATTGATTTAGAGAAGAATTTTAGTTAAAAATTCTAGAAAATAATAATTGAATTGAAATGATAAAAATAATTTTGAAGAAGTTTACAGTAACATTATTCTTATAATATAAAATAATGATTTTATTACTCTCGATCATCTTTAATTGAATCGTGAATTTCGAAAAGGGCTCAAGTCGGGTTTTTGAAATTTTACAGGAGACACAAAAAATTGTTTATTTCAAACAGCTTTAATGGACTTTAGTAACTAGGTGCTTTGTTATATGTATGAGAAAATAATAAAATAATTGTTCTTAATGACAGTAGGTTGGAGAAAATTGATATTATAGTTGTCAGAGTTGAGCCCTTTTCGAAATTTATGAACAAAATTTAATCCTTTTAATCATAAAAAAACATATTAATAAAGCGGTTTATTATGGAGAAACAATTTATTTATTCATTTATTTAATTTTAGAATATAATAAATTTTTTTTGAACTCTAAAACAATTCAGCATTAGGTTAAAAAACAAACAATCTTAGGTTAAAAATCAAAGGAAAAAACAGTTTAACCCTCCATCCGTCGCACTTTTTTTTGTAACGCGATCCGTCGCAGGTGAGGGAAATTCTCACCCTCATAAATTAGTCCAAACTTGTTCTAAAATGCCAAATTTTTTTTTGAATGTTCATTAGAATTTCTAAACAACCTATTGTCAGTAAAATTAACTTTTATTTCCTGTTAATTATTTAACCCCTTAACTGTTTGAGGAAAATACAAGATGATTGTCCCAAAATGCCCAGCGGAATCTGATACTTTTTCAAATAGTATAATATATTTAAATTATAACTAATTATTCAATTATTTTCTAAAATATAATTAATGACCCTTATAATTTCTTATAATATTGATATAAAGAAAAATATCTATCACTTTATATACAAATTATATTTATTTTGAGTGATAGTGAACACGACCCACGGGTGGGTCGGAAACAGTTATGGCCATACTTTTTCACGACCCACCCGTGGGTCGGAAACAGGCAACGGGTTAAATAAAAAATTAATGACAAATGAAATCGAGTATACGCGGTCAGTCGCATGGTGAGAAGTTCCCTCACTTCGCGTCAAAAATCCCCGACATTTGCTGCTTTCAAATTCAATAACAAAGAAATTAAAATATAAAAAAACACCAAAATTGTTTTAATGTAAAGAAGAAAAGTGCCGTAAAAGGTACTGAGAATATGAAATTATAATTTTTTATATTTTAAAAGTTATAAATAAAAAAAGAAACTGGGTGAGGGAAATTCTCACCATGCGACGGATGGAGGGTTAATACATTTTTCTCCTCTGAAAGTACCTCGCATGAAATTTTTCTCTTAACCCGTTGCCTGTTTCCGACCCACCCGTGGGTCGTGTTCACTATCACTCAAAATAAATATAATTTTTATATAAATTGATAGATATTTTTCTTTATATCAATATTATAAGAAATTATAAGGGTCATTAATGATATTTTAGAAAATAATTGAATAATTAGTTATAATTTAAATATACTATACTATTTGAAAAAGTATCAGATTCCGCTGGGCATTTTGGGACAATCATGTTGTATTTTCCTCAAACAGTTAAGGGGTTAAGAAAACGTCAATGAATTGAATTTTTTTCTTTTTTGAATTTTTTTCATTATTACATAATAATGAAAAAAATTCAAAAAAGTGAAATTTGAAAAAAATCCGAGTTAAGACCTTTTTGAAATTCACGATTCAATTATTGTAAAACATGAAGAAAGTGATCACTTCGTGTCGAAGGCTCGGAATGATCGATATCTTCATGTTTTATATTAATATTCTTATAAAGGCGCTCTCTCACCTCTACTGCCTGCCTGCCTGCACAGGCAGGCGCAATAAGAGTAAGGGAGAAAAAACATTTAATTTGAATTTTCTGACTCTCTTACTCTTATGTGTTACCATGACGACCTGCAGGCAGGCAGTAGAGCTGTGCGAGCGCCTTAAGTTGTTGAATTTCAAAAAGGTTTGAATTTGAAATTTTTGAAATTCTTAATTCCGTTGGAAAAATAATAAAGATTAAATATTTATTTAAAAAAGAGGTTATTGATGTTTTCAAAGAATTAATTTACAATTAAAGAAATTCGTAAATAAATGTAATAGAACATTTTCTTGAGTATCTAATAATTTTTAGAGTGAATCAGAATATTCTTTAATGTCAGAAAAAAAGTCAAAATTTTGTCTGAAAACCAGTGAAAAACAGAATTAATGTTTTGTGGCAATCTTGTTAATAAATAACATTTTTATGACATAAAAATTTTTTGTGAATTATTCACAAAGAAATCTTTTTTCATAGTTTTACTTTCTTCTTCTTTTTGTTCCTTAGTTTTAATTTTCCAAATAACATTTAGAAATATAATTTATTATTAGGAATCTGTTGCATTCGGATGGCAATTACCTGATCCAAAAACAATTTCCATTGATTGGGAAGCATTGAGAAATGCTGTTCAAAATCATGTAAAATCTGTGAATTGGGTAACTCGAGTTGAACTCAGAAATAAGTAAGTAAAATTAATTAATATCTGAAATTGTTTTATTTTTATATTTTTATTGAACCTTTCTCTCTTTTTTCTTCTCAGGAAAGTTGAGTACATAAATGCTCTTGGACACTTTCAAGATCAAAATACAATTGTTGGCATTATGAAGAATGGAGACCAGAAAATTATTACAGCGCAAAATGTTTTGATTGCCGTGGGTGGAAGACCCAGGTATCCTGATATTCCTGGAGCCGTTGAATATGGAATCACTAGTGACGATATTTTCAGTTTGGAGAAAGCTCCAGGCAAAACGCTTGTCGTTGGTGCTGGATGTATCCTTTTCTTTCTATTTATTATTTATTCAACGTTTTTTTTTCAATTTCAGATAATATTTTTAAAAAGGGATTGACACTTTTTTCACGTCTTTTAAATTTAAATGTTTGCAAACCAAATTTTTACTGATACACTCGAATCTCGCTATAACGAGAAGTTCGGGAGTCAAGTCTCCCTCTATTACGAGCGCAAGAGGAGAAATGAAAAATCCCCACTTTTAAGATTCTTCATTCATTTTTTTTGTGTTTACAATTTACGTAATGTCAAAATTACAAACATAACCTAGTTTAATTTGAACTTCAACATACAGAAAATTTATATAAGCTAAAATTTTTAAGATTTTCGACTCATTGATTTAATTTAAAAAAAGAAGTGACTTTTTATGCTCATTATGATATAAATAAAATTGATTTTAACCAAATTTAAATCAACAGAATGTGCATTTGTTTATAAATAGTGGGGGTAATAGGAAGAAAATTTTTCTCGTTATACCGAGAGACAGAGCCCTCGTTATAGAGAGCGCTCGTTATAGAGAAGGTCGTTATAGCGAGATTTGAGTGTATTCGAAATAAAATTTTTATTTTACTATTTTCATTGTTATTTTATGTTTATTATGAAATGGGTAGAATTTATTTAATAACACTACAGGAATATAAGTTAACTGTGAGAAAGAATAGGAAGAGAGGATAAAAGAATAAAATTTTAAATCGTCATTATTGAAACAAAAAATTGGATAAAAATGAAGAGGAAAAAATGTTGCAAAAATTTTACATTATTTTTTCTTTCTTAACTAAAAAATTTTGTAGATATTGGATTGGAGTGTGCAGGATTTTTGAATGGAATGGGTTACGATGCAACAATAATGGTTCGCTCGATTGTTTTGCGTGGATTCGATCAACAAATGTCGAATATTGTCGCTGAAGAAATGTCCGATCGTGGTGTTCATTTTATTTATCAAGCAAAACCAAAGGCAATTGAAAAGCAAGCCGATGGTCGCCTCCTCGTTCACTGGGTCGACAAGGTAATTTTTTTTATTGATTAGAAAAGATTTTTAATAAAAATAAATCTTCTATATTAATTTAATGCTAATTGTATTTTTTTTTTATTAAAAAAACACTTATTTTATGTAAAATTGAAAAATTAATTTTCAGAAATTTTATACAATAAGTTCAAATTCTTACTAAATTCCGATTTATTTAGATTTCAGATTTATTATTTAATTTATTTAGAGAATTAATTTTGTTAATTAATTCTCGGTTAATACGCTCGGGCTTTCTTTCTGAACCGCAATATCTACTTCGAGTTGTGTAGAAGTGGAAAGAGTCTAGTCTCAATTTAAAAAAAATTGAATTGTTTTGAAGAATTTTGTTAAAATCTTTTGAAAATAATTAAATTTTTTTCAAGGAATTTAATTAAAGTTGTACTTAAATTAATTGAATTCATCTAAGGAATAATAAATTATTATTATTAAAATTATTATTATTAAATTATTATTATTATTAAAATATTTTAAAAACAAGATTATTTGTCATATAAATAAATGAAAACTATAAAAATACCAAAATTAATAACATATTTTGCTAAAATCGTGAGGTCGCTTTTTCCCCCACCAGGTGGTACAAAAAAGCCACTTGCGGTGCTTTCGTAAAACTCTTATAACTTAGTCCTTTCATGGGATAAAAAATATTTCCATCAAGAATTTTCAAGCTTAATAACTAAACTTTCAATATCAATTGGAAATTTGAGAAAAAAATTTTAAATACAAATTTTATATCATCAAATGTAAAAATGTGGCTTTTTCACCCCACTCTAAAATTTAAAAATAATTTAACTCTTGTCAAGATGTTTATTAAAATTCTTTAAAATAATTGAATTGTTTTGAAGAATTTATTTCAATTTTCTTGAAAATAATGGAGATTTTTTTAATAATTATAACTGAAAATTTTGAAAGTAATTGAATTTTTTGAAGATTTTGATTTAAGTTTTTAAAATAATCGTGTTTATTATTAATTGTAATGAAATTAATTATTAATAATAATTTTCCTATTAAATTGTATTCAAATTATGCATAGAAAATTAAATTTTTTTAAACTTTTTGTAAATAATGACATTTTTTAAAAATTTTATTAAATTTCGTAAAATTAATGTAATTTTTTAAAATAATTTTAATTGAAAATTTTTAAAATACCTAAGTGAAATTTACAAAGAATTTTATTAAAAACTTTTGAGAACAATTGAATTTAAATTAAAATTCTTGAAAATAATCGAATTTAATTAATATTTTTAAAATTAATTGTTTTAATAAAATTTTTGGAAAAAATTAAATTATTTAAAAAATTTTTGATTAAATTCTTCTTAAGAATTGAATAATTCTCAATAAATTCATTTAAAAGTTCAAAACATTTAAAAAGCATAATTTTATTTAAGTAACAGAAAAGCAAATACATAATAACTAAGTTGAAATTGTTCGTTTGATAAATTACTGAATTTTGAGTGAAATAAATGATTTTTCTTTTAATTAACAGGATGGAGCTGTTCAACAGGATGTCTACGATACTGTTCTGTTTGCAATTGGACGTAGAGCACTTACCAAGGAACTAAAACCAGAAAATGCAGGACTTATGCTTGTTCCTGAAAGTGAGAAAATAAAGGCCGTAAATGAACAGACGAACGTTCCCAATATTTTTGCAGTTGGAGATGTTCTTCACGTTAGTTTTTCATTCTTTTTCTCAGAAAAATAATTTACCCCCACTGGAAATCCTAATAATTTCATTAAAATAATAATTATTATTATTTTTGTTTAAATTTTAGAAACGACCGGAATTGACGCCAGTGGCAATACATGCGGGAAAATTATTGGCACGCCGACTCTATGGGGGTTCAACTGATCAAATGGATTATGCAAATGTTGCTACAACTGTTTTCAGTCCCTTAGAATATGGATGTGTTGGATTGAGTGAAGAACAAGCGATTGCTTTGTACGGAGAGGAGAAACTTGAAATTTATCACGCCTATTATAAACCGACAGAATTTTTCGTTCCACAAAAAAATGTGAAACATTGTTACGTTAAAGTTGTTGCACTTCGTGATGATGATCAACGAGTTCTTGGAATGCATTTCATTGGACCGAGCGCTGGTGAAGTTATTCAAGGATTTTCCGCTGCTATCAAGTACATATATTTTTTCTTGTATTTATTCGAAATATATTTCCATTCTTTCTCTTTTTCATATAATTTCAAAATATGTTTTTCAATTTTAATTTATTTGGTTTGTAAATAATTCTTTTAACTTCATTTTAATTATTTAAATTTCTAAATTTTTTTTATTGAAAATGTTTAATTTGTAAATTAATTTCTTCATAGATGATTAATTTTGAAATTAATTTTTTTCAGGTCTAATTTGACATTCCCAATTTTAAAATCAACTGTTGGCATTCATCCAACAACTGCCGAAGAATTTACCCGAGTTTTCATAACAAAAAGATCCGGAATGGACCCAACACCACAAAGTTGCTGTAGTTAAATTAAAAACAAAAAGTAACAATTGACACGCCTAGAAACTTTTTGAAATTATTATTAAAAAAAGAATGCATCTAATTTTTTTTACAGTGATGGGTAAGGTGATAGCATATTTTTAACGAGATTCCAATTGATTTTATATACAATTAAAAAAGAATATTTCTAAAGACGATTCTTTTTTTTGGTTTTTTTAAGTAATAGACGTAGTTTTAATTGTTTAAAAAAAGTGAATTCTAAACAGTTTGTTGTTATTAATTAATAGTAATAATTACTAATGACAAGAGAATTGAATACAAAAGGCTTTGTTGAAGAAGCACATTAATTTTTATATTCAGTATTTTAGTTTGCAATTCCAATGAGCGAAAAAAAATTATATACACAACTTTGTTAAGAATGTTTTAACATTAAATTCTTATTTTTCAGTTGTAAATTATATTTTTTAATTGAATGATTCATTGAAAATATTTCCTTCTTTAAAAGAATTGTTTCAAATAAGGCACATTTTTAGTATAAAATGCAACTTATTTCGATTTTTACAGTGTGAAAAATAAAAGACAAATCTTTAAAAAAAATTGTTTTTCAATAATTTTTCTAATTAAATTTTCGAATTAAACAATTAAAAAGATTTTGAATAATTGAAATATTGTAAAATTTAATCGAAAATAATTGATTTTTTTCAAGTATTTGATTACAGTTTTAAGAAAACAACATTTGAAGAATTTTAATATTAAGGATTTAATTGTTCAGGCTGTGGTGATTGATGATTGGATAATCGTTAACTCGGAGTTAACCGGGGCGAGTGTCGAAAACCATTTTTCTAAAACTTATCTGAGCTCCCATAAGTGCCTATGTTAAATTGCAAATTTATTTTATTTTTTTAAGAAAAAACTACGTAGTAAAAATTCTGAAAAAAATCATATGTTTCTAAAATAATCTAAAGAAGAAACTGACAAATTTTTATAAATTTCTCTCATTTCCTTAATTTACTGGTGACAATCCTTTTAATTGCAAATTTTTAAAATAATCGAATTCTCATAAATTTTAATGAAAAATCTTCAAGTGTAAATTTAAAAATGAAAATTAATGGAAATTAGGTTCTAAAAATTATAGTAAAATATTTTTAACAAAAGTAATTCTTAGAATTTTTTCATTCCAATTTTTTAAAATTCAATTATTTTCAATATTTTCAATTACATAATGAAAATGTCCCAATTTGTGGACTACTGAAAATTTCTTAGTGAAAAGATGCCTTTTATGTTTCTTTTTCACAGGTCTCCTCAGAGGTGGGCAGGTTATTCTAAAATGTAACGCTACAAACTTGGTGGGGAGTTGTTCCAAATGACTTCCAGATTCCAAATTTTCAAACCGATAAATCGTACCTGATCCTCTTTTCGAATTATCTCTTTTACATATAGTCGGAAACTTAAAAACTATATTATCTTAATGTGGAAGCTTTGATTCAGAAGACTGCTGATTTTTCGTTATTAAAAATTTTTTAGGCAAAGATTTTATAGATAATTATGTTCAGGATTTTGAGAAAAGTTGGGGTGGGGGAGAGTGGGGCAAGACGGTGTGCTTAAGGTTTAAAGCGCAAAAAAACGAAAATTATCGAATATATGAGCGGATGGGAAGAAGAACTTGCCGAGCGCGAGACCGTAAGGGATAATATCAGTCAGGTAACAGTGAGCGCCTCTGGGCCACACACTGCTACCTGACTGGAACTATCCTTTACGGTCTCACGCTCGGCGAGTTCTTCTTCCCATCTGCTCATATATTTTATTATTTTATTTAATAACCATCTTTGGGAATCAGTCTTTCGTAATAAAGGCGTAGAAAGGCCATCTGTTTCTTAAAAAAGCATAAAATTAATAATATGAAAAAAATTGCAAATCTCTCCATCTTGCCCCAGCGGCGGGCAAGATAAAGTTCCCTAAGGAGTAAGATGGGGTACTAAAAAAGCAACCTATTTCTGTCGACAAATTTTACAAGTAAAGGTTGCATCTTCATCTTCGTCATCGACACCAGCACAACTGCACTTTACCATCGCTAATAATTAATAATTTAACCTGACAAACTTTTTTATTTTTGGTCACTCTTATTTTATTCAGTCTTGATTTAAATAGTTTTCTTAACTTCCCTTATTTCTCTTTTCTTTTGCTTCATTTGTGTAACCCGTCTTGCCCCACTCTCCCCTACCCCATCTTGCCCGCACCTACGAAATTGAATAAAACGATTAATTACTACAATTTACGATTCAACAAAGAAAAAAACATATGCTTCCCTTCTTTTGTAACCCTTGCCAGTTATAAAAAATTTTATATAGTTCATTAACTGTTATTATTAAATAATAAACACCTTCTAAAAAAGTGAAAAAAACACAAGAAAATCGTCGAAAACCGTTTTTTTAATAAAACAGATAAAAGATTTGTTCTCATGGCTTTTAGGTTTTGTAAACAAGAAACTATCGTCTCGGTGCAGTATTATGTAAAATGTAATCGCGATTGGTTAATTCGTTTGTTAAATAGGGCCGGTACCCCGTCTTGCCCCACTCTCCCTTATAAGTCTCAAAAATCACTTTTTAGCAGTTTTTGAAAATTTCTATCGGGTAAATCCGACGTGCTACAGACTTGATATAGGAGTCAAATTGAAGCTTGAGCCCCCTACTTTACGAAGATATTGCGATATTGCCAACGAAATAATTAGCTATCAAAAGTGATTTTTTTAACAGTTGGCAAGCATAAAAATGGACTCACACTCCGTAAATACAACTGTTTTAAAAAATGATTGGATTGGTTTAGAATTTGTTACTCAGGGGTTTCAGGATCGCTGATTACGAATATGATGTCAAAATAAAAAAATCTGTGGACAGATTCCTAATCAGCGACCCCGAAACCCCTCGAGTAACGAGGACAACTGTTGAAAAATCAATTTTGACAGTTAATTTAGTTTGTTGTTGGCAATATCGCTATATCTTCGTAAAGTAGAGGGTTCAAGCTTTAATTTAACGAATTTAACTCATATGACAAGTCTCTGCACGTCGGATTTACCCAGTAGAAGTTTTCAAAAACTACTAAAAAGTGATTTTTGGGTATTTTACCCCCAATTTTCTCAAAATCCTGACGTGATGGGAGGTTTTTGTTAAATGTTAATTCGGATTTAGCGCACCAAAAGCTACGGTAAATGACTTCTCGATCTCAGACAACGGAAATTTTTATTTTTTTGCAGGCTTCTGAAATTATATATATATACTAGGGGGGCTTCGCCCCCCTGCGCGCTTCGCGCGCCAACCCCCCATTTTTAATATTTATTTTCATTTTTAAAATCATGTTATCTTAATATGATGGCATAGTAATGAGTTAGAGTAAATTATAACAGATATTAAAAAAGATAACTAGTAGAGAATTCTACTTTACGGAAGTGATTATAGTGTCAACTTTTTCAAGTTTGACACTCCTCATAGTAAATTTGATAATTCTTTTTTCTCAGTGTCAAAAGTATTATTGGGCCCCTTTTTACCTGCAGTTGACATAAATGTTGACGTAATGTAAGGGCCATTAGGGGCTGTCCATAAATTACGTAAGTCATTTTTTGGGTAAATTTGACCCCCTTCCTCCCTCGTAAGATATTTTACATAAATTAGCGCCATTTTTCCTATTGTTCGCAAGATCTTGCTGACCCCCCTCCCCCCTAAATGTCTTACGTAATTTATGGACGGACTAAAGATTTCGACGTAAAATAATAGACGTTTGAGGGCTTCATTTTTACCCGTAGGTCAAAACTGACCTTAAAATTGACCTAAATTTTGAGGAAACAGTAGGTCAGAAGGAATTTTCTTGTCAATTTTTGATGTGTAGGTCAAAACTGACCTTAAAATTAAAGTACATTTTGAGGACAGAAAAATAATTTTAATAGAATTTAAAAAAAAATATGTCAATTTATAACATCTTTTATTAATTGAAACTTAATATTGAAATTTAGGTCAAACTTCTTTTAACCAATAGGTCGAAAATTCCGTCAAACTTTAATATAAGGGTACGACTTTTTAAAAAATCCTAATTACTTTGCTTTTTTTCATGTATAGGCTAAAAAATATGTCAAATTTGACCTAAATTTTAAGGAAAGGTCAGGTCAGAGGAAGTTTTTTCGACAATTTTTGCGGTGTAGATGAAAACTGACCTTGAAATTGACCTAATTTTTGAGGGCAGGGGGAATTGTTCGTCAATTTTTTCCGTTAAGGTCAAAACTGCCCTTAAAATTGACCTACATTTTGAAGGTAAAGGGAATTGTTTGTCAATTTTTTACCTGTAGGTTAAAACTGCCCTTCAAATTAACCTAAATTTTGAGAGCAGAGGGAATTGTTTGTTAATTTTTTACCTGTAGATTAAAACTGCCCTTAAAATTGACCTACATTTTGAGGTCAGAGGGAATTATTTGTGAATTTTTGACGTTTAGGTCAAAACTGCCCTTAAAATTGACCTACATTTTGAGGGCAGAGGGAATTGTTTGTCAATTTTTTACCTGTAGGTTAAATCTGCCCTTAAAATTGACATAAATTTTACGGGCAGAGTAAAACGCAATTTTTAACGCTTAGGTCAAAACTGCTCTTAAAATTAAACTAAATTTTGAAAGCAGAGCGATAAGTTTGTCAATTTTTAACTTTAAGTCATAACTACTCTTAAAATTAACTTAAATTTTGAGGGCAGAGGGGTTAGTTTGTTAGTTTTTTACCTGTAGGTTGAATCTGCCCTTAAAATTGACCTAAATTTTGAGTAATTTTGACCTGTAGGTTAAAACTGCCCTTAAATTGACCTGAATTTAGGTCAAATATAACTTGTTTCTGACGATGGACCTACCTTGACAGTGGGCCAACCTTGACTATGTTCCCCCTACTATAAGGGTCCCTTAAAACTTTCTGAAACAGCGGCGGCGGCGATATGATTTTATATTAATAGGGATAGATATATATATATATATATATATATATATATATATATATATATATATATATATAAAATATATATATAAAAATATATAAATATATATAAATATATATATAAATATATATATATATATATATATATATATATAAATATATATATATATATATAAAATCTTTTTCTTTTGATAAGAAGATATATCAATTTTTAAAGCAAATATGACATTAAATCAAGTTTTATTGTCAAAATATAGTAAATTATTATGTTTTTATGAAAAAAGGTTAACGTACCAATTTGAGAACCGATTTGTTTTTTCATGTATAAGCCAGAATACACTCACCTTTATATGCACCAGTTGTTGAAAAAGGTAAATTATAATACTCACTTTAATTTATAAAAATTTAGTTTTTTTTGCTCTGGTAAATTCTAAAATGTTAACCTGTCAAATCACTTGATTGCTTGTAGATGTCAAAAAGCTAATAACTAAGTATTAATTTTTCAAAAACATTTGTCATAAAATACCGTTTTATACCAAAAAATACTTTACTACTTCCTACACTATATTTAATTGATTTCCATTGAAATTTGCACATATATGAGCAAATGTTCACAAATTGGTACACGTGCACAAATAGGGACATTTACCTTATTTCCGGAAATTCAAACACATACAAAAAAACATTAATATTTTTTAGAATTATTTTTTTTTTAAATTCTAGAAAAATTCTTTTAAGAAATTCAATTATTTTCAAAAAATTGACAGTAGAATATTTTCAAAAAACTAATTCTTATAATTTTTAATCATAATTTTTTAAGATTCATTTGGGTCAATCCACTGAAAATCATCTGAGAGTGGTCGCTGGCATATTTTGAATATCTATGAGTTTATTGGTCATAAGGTTCACGGCGAAATTTCGTAACCTTAAATGTTGCACTTTCTTTGGAAACGTTATATTATTCAAAAACTATTAAATATTAGATAATATTACTTACCAGAAACATAAATCAATTTATTCTGCTTGTAAATTTGATATAATTATTATACAATTATTCCATTCAAAGATATTAATTTGAATTTAAAAATTTTATCGAAAAAAAATTTTCACAATTTTTCGAAGCTTGGAACTTTTTTCTGGAAGCTTTAAAAAATTTGGGGTTTTGTACATATTTTAATATTCAATAAATAATTTACCTGCTGTTAAAATTTGATAAGGGTATTTTGCTTCGTTTGAGAAATAATAATTTTGAAAAATTGTTACTGAAAAAGGTTAATCATAGGGAACTGGAGTAAACAAAACAATTAATTACTCGTCTCTCTTTTTTTAATGAGAATAGAGAGAGATGTAAAACTTTTGAAGTAACAATTTTCCAAAATTATTATTTCTCAAACGAAGAAAAATACCCTTATCAAATTTTAATAGCAGGTAAATTATATGAATATTAAAATATGCGCAAAACCCCAAATTTTTTAAAGCTTCCAAAGAAAAGTTCCAAGCTTCGGAAAATTGTGAAAATTTTTTTTCGATAAAATTTTTAAATTCAAATTAATATCTTTGAATGGAATAATTGTATAAAAATTATATCAAATTTACACGCAGAATAAATTAATTTATGTTTCTGGTAAGTAATATTATCTAATATTTAATAGTTTTTGAACAATAACGTTTCCAAAGAAAGTGCAACATTTAAGGTTACGAAATTTCGCCGTGAACCTCCTACTTTCAATTAATAATAATTTAAAAGGGAATACAATTTACATGATAATATTATGATTAATAAACTCAGATATTCATCTAGTTTCACATATTTTCAAACTAAATTTTTTAAGAATATGCCAGCGACCTCTCTCAGATGATTTTCAGTGGATTGACCCATTTATCTTAGAACAAAATAAATTTAAATTGTTAAAAGTTAAATTTTTTAGAAATCATGTTCATATTTATAATTAAAATTCTTCAAAAATTTCGATTATTTTTTTATACTGTTTAAAAATTCAATTATATTCTTATAAAATTCGACCTAATTTCAATTATTTTTAAAAGATATGTTACCAAATTTAAATTGTTTGGACATTTTTCAATTTTAAGAATCTCTTTATTATAATTATTTGAAAATGTTTTTTACAGTTACAGTATCAATTATTATAAAAAATTGAATTTTTGTATTTAAATAATAACTTAAGAAAATTATTAAAAATAACTGATTTAGAGATGAAGTTCAGTTAAAAATTGTAGAAAATATAATTGAATTTTTGAAGGATAATAGGATAAAAATGATAAAAATTACAAAGTTTTTAGAATTTGTTAAATTGGAGTTTTTTAAATTTTATTTCCCTTCGTAAAACAAATAAGAAGCATTTAAATATTTATTTAACAAAGTGATTCAAGTTTTGAATTTAGAAATTCGAGGCCTGAATAATTAGTTGTTTAAATAGTACATTGTACTACTAGTGGCGAAAGTGTGATTTTTCGAGAGTGAAGTTTGCGGCTCGAGCGTAGCGAGAGCAGCAATCACTCGAGAAAAATCATTCTTTCACCACGAGTTGTGCACTACGTTTTCTCCAACGCCTTGCGAGGAAAGGTTTCTTCGTGAGTTTCATATAATTTTAATTTAACGTCTGCTTATGTTTAATATAATAAAAGGCGAATGTTTTGAGTGGGGAAGAAGTTAGATACAAAATAAATCTCGGTCAAAGAACAAGAAAAAAGAATAAATTCATGATTTACTTTCGCCACGCCAAATTTACTTTCGCCACGCTGAATTTACTTTCGCCACGCCAAATTTTACTTTCGCCACGCTCTTTGGAGCAGTTGAGAAAAGATCTACTTTCGCCACACTTTTCTACTAAGAAAAGTACTCTTTTCAGAGCAAGTGTTGGAGAAAATATTTACTTTATTCCGGGCATCCAAGCCAATATTGTGTCGAAAATAATGGATGACCATTATTTTCCATTGCTGCAGTTTTGGTATTAAATTTCCAAAAATATTTGTCCTTGAAAAAATATATTGAACCTGAAAATAACTATTTTTATACATTTATATAGACTTTTTTCTCCTTTTTTTTTGTTAAGCACAATTTTTACCATCTGTCCAGGTCATTGCGGTGTCAAAATTTCTTGGAATACCATTTAATTTTTCATCATCATGAGAATAATTTGAATCCAACTGTTCAATTTCATTGATGGTCCAAAATTCATCGTCTCTTTATTTTTATATATTTAAAAAAGAAACGAAAAATATTAGGTATTTAATTTGAAAAAAATATGTTTAAATATTTAAAAGTGAAATTGTATAAAAATTGTTAATTACCGAAAAAAATAAGTTTTTCCTGTTTTAGGCCAAACAAATACTGCGTCAATTTTATTCACATGATCGGGAATTCCGTAATCGGACAATAATCCCGGATTTTCGCTAATGAATCTCTCGCCATTGTAAATCCAATATTTGTTTCCTATATTTAAAAGGAAATTACTTGAAAATTAAAAGTTCAAGTTCATAAACTAAATTTTGTCAATTTAAAATTTTTAATGAATACATAGTATAAAAAATGTGGAAGTGGATTAATTTTTCCGTTTAGGTTCATTTATAAAAAACTACAAACCAGAAAAGAGAACGATACTCGAATCGATTTCTCTTTGATAAGCGGCATCAATTTTAATCACTGAATTTGGTATGCCATGAAATAGTTGATGAAATTTCACTGGATAATTGTTATCCATTATTCCACGTTGAATCATATGCCAAAGGTACTTAAAAAAGTCATTTAATTAGAGAATAATTTTTTAATATTATTATTGATAATTAAATTATTTCATAAATGCAGGCCTCGGATATTATGACTTTTTTCAAATATGTATTTTCAAAGAAATACGACTTTATTCGACTTCATTTCAAAAAATGCGTCTTTTTCGATTTTTCTTCCAAATATTGCAACCAAATACCACAAAAATGCAACTTATTTCGATCTTTATAGTGTGAAAAGTATAACTATAAACAAAACTTTGAAAAGTTATTTTTGAATAATTTTTCTATAATCAAATTTTTTAAATATACAATTAAAAAGATTTTGAATAAAAGAGATTTTGTAAAATTTAATTGAAAATAGGTAATAGGTTTTTTTTCAAGTACCTATTTTATTACAATTTTTGAAAATCAACTTTTGAAGAATTTTAATTGCAAATTTTGCGAAAATAATTGAATTCTCAAAAATTTTAATGTAAAATCTTCAAGTGTAAATTTAAAAATGAAAATTAATGGAAATTAGGTTCTAAAAATTATAGTAAAATATTTTTAACAAAAGTAATTCTTAGAATTTTTTCATTCTAATTTTTTAAAATTAAAAAATTAACAACTTACCTCCCCTTTAAAAATGAATAATTCGTTTCTAAATACTGAAATGGTATCAAAATTTCCTTGACAAATATCAGGAATCGTGAAATTGTCCGTGACTGTATGCATTTTCTTCTCGTGAATTCGATGCTCTTCGACTGATTCATAATCTCCGATAAATGTGATATTTTGAAAATCAAATTTCTGAGTCGTTGAATAGGAAATTGTCGATAATGTTACATCAATTTCTAATTCTGTTATTGCTGAAGTTGATTTTGTATTTACCCTTTCAGTCGTTCTTGGAATATCCTGCTCTCCTCTGTGATGTAAAACTAAAATTGATTTTATTTTTTCATTTATTATGCATCACTTCGGGTCATAAATTCATAAATAAATTCTATTTGAATCATTCTAATTCTTATAACAAATTATTATTTGAATTAATTTCATTTCATTAATAAATTCTCAAAACATTGAAAAGTCAGGGATTTTTGAAAAATTTTAATTATTCAAATTCTTCGGAAATTCATTAAATTTGTTAATATATATTTAATTAATTATTAAAAATAATAGACTTCTAGAAGAATTTTCATTAACCCTCCGTCACACACGGTTTCGTCACAGTTTCTATAATACCTTTCGACAGTTCCCTCTTCAACACATTTCTATAAAAACATTTAGTTTAAACATAATTAATCTTTAATTATGAGGCTTCAAAGCTATAAAAAGACTCGAAAAATTGAGGAAATTTTAAGCTAAAAAAATCAAGTTGACAAAACATTTTTTGTTCCACTGTTGGTTGTTGACAAAATTAGATTATAAATGCAATTAAAATGAATTATTTAATGATTTTTTTACGTATTTGTTAATGTTACATTATTTTTACATGCGCAAAGTGGAAATGGAATTCCTTCGAAGATATGCTTTCGTGTAATTATTTTTTATTTGTGAGACCGAAAATTAATTTTATGATTTGAAATAATTTACTACATATTTGTAAGTTTGTGTTAAAACTAAATTTTTGTTGATTCCTTCGTTTATGTTGCAATGCTGCTTATTTTATAATGTGGTGAGGGATTCCCTCTACACGTGTGTAATATGGTGTAATTATTTCTAAGGTGTGTGACGGAGGGTTAAAATTAAAAACACTAAAAAAAATTGAATTTTGAAGAAGTTGAAAATTATTGCAGAAATTCAATTATTTTCAAATTCTCGTCAAAATTTAATTTATCTTTATAAATAATAAAATTCTTCTTCTAAATTAAATTATTTTCAAAACAATTTTAATTGAATTCCTCAAAAGAATTTAATTATTTTCAAAAATTTTGGTACGCAATTCTTTATAAGAATTCAATTATTTTCAATACAATTTTAACTAAATTCGTCGAAAGAATTTACATTTGAGCCGTTCGCTAGAAAAACGACCTAAGTCGACTTAAGTTTTTGACGAAAAAATTAAATTAAAGATTCAGAAACGAATTACTAATATAATTTACGTATTAATTATATCGCTCATTTTTCTCAATACAAAGGTGTTATCAAAGAATACTTTAAAAGAAAAGAAGGTCGAGTAAACAATGTTTTGCTACTTTAATAACATTATTTTATAACAAATGACTTAAGTGGTTTTTCCGGCGAACCACTAAAAATGAAACAAAATTAAGTATTTTATGAAAGAACACTTTTATTTTAATGTATTAAAACATATTTATTATTCTAAAAAGTCTTACGATATATTTTATAGTAATATATTCAATTAAATATCAACATTATAATGCACAAGTTTAGTTAACAAAATGAAAAAATTACTCGCTTTTGTAATAATACAAAAATTTTGAAAATTTCAAATTTATAGCAGTGAAGGCTTGTACAAAAAACTTTCTTTAGTATTTAAAAAAAAATTGAAATCGGTGGAGATTTGTATTGTTGGCAGAATTTTGTCCAAAACACTGCATTTCTTCCCACTGTGCGCGGTAGCAGAGGACGTGAACGCGCGCTTGCGTAAGTGCTTCAATTTCGGGACCCAGGAAGTTTAAACACCTCAATTTCTAAAGTTGTGGGTCACTATTTATGAATTAATCATAAATAGTGACCCACACAATTCCAATTATTAAGCAATTATTTATTAGAATTCTTGGCGAAAATTCAATTTTTTTCATGAATATTAAAATGCTTTAGAGGAATTAAATTATTTTCAAAAATTTTTATAACCTTTTTTGCAAGAATTTTCAATTCTTATATCATAAATAATAAAAATTCTTTGTTGCAAAAATTCAATTATTTTAATAAATATTAAAGTTCTTTAAAGAAATTAGATTATTTTCATAAATAACAAAATTCTTTGCAAGAATTCATTTATATTTTCAAAAATAATAAAATTTTCCGTAAACATTTAATTTTTTTTTAAACTTTAATAAATTTCTTTAAATGCATTCAATTATTTTCAAAAATTGGAAGAATTCAAATATAACTAAAAATACTTAATACAATTCAATAATATAATTTTTAATTGCAATTATTAACAAACGCGATTCTTATACAGGGTGTCTATAACTAAGGGTACGTTCATAAACTACGTAGATCAATTTTTTTGGAAATTTTATCCCCCCCTCCCCCCACGTGGACGCAATTACATGTATTAGTGCCATTTGTTCCTCTTATGGTAGATAATTGCTTGACCCCCCCCCCCTCCCCCTAGACGTGCTACGTAGTTTATGAACATTCCCTAATTTGAAAAAAATTTCCCTGACATTTCCAGGTTTTCCAGGCCTTCTAAAATTTTTTTTCCAGGTTTTAAGAATCGACATAATAGAAAATACATTGCTTAAATTTTATTTGATAATATGTACTTATAAATGACGTGGGAGAAGTATTCACAACGTTTGTTATCAACGATTTGAAGAAAAAAACTGTTTTTCACTCAGAAAACAATATTTTACGTTTACAAAATTTTCCTTTTTAAGTTTTTTTTTAAGTTTTATTAAGACAAAAGTTTGAATAGGAAATTTTTTTTTCTTCTAAATCATTGTAAACGTCACCAACGTTATAAATTATGAATGTAAAATGAACATTTTTAAAAAAATTATCAGGGCTCGAACCAATGACACAGTATTTAAAAATACGTGCTTTACGGACTAAAAATGAAAAATTACGGACCATTTACGAACAAAAATATAAGCAGTCCGAGTCAAATAAGAGAACATTTTACTTAAAATTAGAAATTAAATTTTTCATAACTATAAAACATAAAGATATCGATAACTCCGAGTCTTCGACTCGGAGTGATCGATTTCTTCATGTTTTATAATAATTAAAGATAACCGAGTGATAAAATCATTATCAATTCAATTATTATTTTCAACAATTTTTAACTAAAATTCTTCTTTAAATCAATTTTACGAAATTTCAATTATTCGTAAATTCTTCAATTAAATATATATTCGAAAATAAAAACTTCAATTAACATATTTCAAAAAAATTAATTTCAAAATTCAATCATTTATAAAAATTCACGCTATACGGCTTTTAATATTCAATTATTATCCAAAATTTTAACTGAAATTAATTTTTAAATCAATTTTTATTAGAATTCAATTATTTAAATACAAAAATAATTTATTGAATTATTGAATGTTTCTTAACATTTAATTCTCATAAAGAATTTTACCAACAAATTTTTCAATTGATGACGAATTTTAATAAAATTTTTAAGAATAATTACATTTTTCGAAGAATTCGATTAAAATTGGATTAGAAATAATTGAAATTCTTTGATGATTTTTATTATTTATGAATATAATTGAATAGTTGTTAACAATTTTATAAAAAAATTTCAAATTAAATAATTGAAGTCCTGAGAAATTTGTATTATTCCCGAAAAAATGGAATTCTTACGAAGATTTTTACAAAAAATTTTTAAATAATTAAATTCTATTTGGAAATTTTGTGAAAATAGTAGATATTGAAAATCATTGAATTGCAAAAAGTTTTTAAAAATAATTTAATTTTACAAAGAATTCTATTATAATTCTTATTATTTATTAAAATAATTGAATTCTTTCGAACGATTTAATAAGAATTTTTTTAAATAAATGAATTTCCAAGAAAAAATGCATTACTTTTAGAAATAATTGAATTCTTGTAATGAATATTGTTATTTATGAAAATAATTGAATTTTGCAAAGAATTTTATTAAAATGTAAAAGAATAAATTTTAAATTATGAATTTTTTCAAAATATAATAAATATTGTGGAAATTTTTTTTTAATTAATTAGATTTTTCTGGAAAGCTTTACTATTAATTTTTTACTAAAAATTTGTAAAACTAATTGTGAGCTTTAAAAATATTGTTCAAGAGTATTTCAAGTTATCATGGAAAAAATTCCCTGACATTTCCAGGTTTTCCAGGACATTTTTAATTTCCCTGACATTTCCCGGTTTTCCAGGTTTTCCAGGTGTTGTAGACACCCTGTTATAAAAACTTGAAACTTGAAACAATTCAATTATTTTCAATACAATTGTGGAGCTGGATCGCAGAACCGGCTCTTCGCTCGGACTGCACTCCTATCCAGTCGGGTAGGAGTGACCCGACTGATATTAGCGCTTGCGGTCCGAGCGAAGAGCCGGTTCTTCGATCCAGCTGCTCAATTGCAATAAAATTTGTCGACAAGATTGAATTATTTTATAAAATTTTTATTAATTTTTTCGAAAGAATGAAATTTTTAAAAAAATCTTTATAAATAAGATCAGACTTTTGTCTGTACATTGCATAGAATTTGAAAATTCATGTTTAGTTTTTCTATTCGAGTAGTAAGAATTCCAAAAATGACAATAAAAAAAATTATGTATGTATGTATGTCTGTCCGCGATACAAAGACTACTTGACTTGACTCTTAGGTATTAGTCTAACTTAAAATCCTAGCCATATCCGATTGAAAAATATTAAGCTGAACAAAAGTTATAGCTTTTTTAACAAAATTCAAAAAATGAAAATTTTTAAATTTTTTGTCAAATTGATGTGACATTTTTTGTATCTACTTTTTAATATAAATACAACTAATTTTCACTATAAAAATGAAATATAAATAATAAATCCGAATTTTTAAGCCAAAATCATATTTTTGATTTTCGACAGAATTTTTAATTAATTTTTTTTGTTGAATATTGTTTAATTTTTTATGAAGTTCGTATTGATATCGGTTGACGTTTTTAAATTTTAAATTACATTCATTAAATTTATTTTATTAACAAGTTTAGAGTCATGAATTTGATGTCTATTACAAATTTTCTAAAATCAATGAACGTGAGTTTGCAAACAATTTCTATATTGATATTTTAAGGTTTTAAGTTTGAAAATTTCATAGTATGTATTGTCATATCTAACGTAGAAAATAAAATATATATGTTCAATATAAAGGGTACAGTAAAAGTATCAATAAAACTGAAATTTGACTTCAGCGGGCACTGGGGCAAATTGGGATTTATGAATCAAAATTTTCTTATTTTTGATTTCTAGAAATGTTTTAGAAATGACTTTGAAAATAAATAACAAATTCCTATTTATGAATTAAAATTTTTCTTCTTGAATTTTAGAAAAGTTTGGGGTATGTTGTTGCTTTTCAAAATTCTATCCGGGCATCATTTAAGCAAAAACGGGTAAAATGTAAAATCTCATGTGGAAATTTTCAATAGGGATATGGAAAAATTATACCTACTTGAAAAATAAAAATAGATTTTTTAGTAGAAACTAAAACCCGGCGAAGACGAGTACGACAGCTAATATTTTTATAAAATTCGTCAAAAGAATTCAACTATTTTCATAAATAATTGAATCGCACAGTTTCAATTATTTTTAAAATAATTTTATTAAAATTCGTCGAAAAAATTCTATTATTTAAAAAATTGTTGTTAAAATTCTTTATGACAAAATTTTAATTATTATAAAAAAATTTCCCGAATTCAATGATTTTCAATATCTACTATGTATTTTAAAATAGTAGATAATGAAAATCATTGAATTCGGGAAAATTTTTTATAATTATTTTTAAAAATAATAAAAATTTCACAGAAATTCAATTCTTCACAAATTTTTTATAAATTTCTTCGCAATAATTCAATTATTTTCATAATTATAAAAAAACTCATCGCAGAATTTCAATTATTTTTAAAAGAATTTTAATGGAATTCCTCGAAAAATGTAATTATTCTTAAAAATTTTATTAAAATTCTTCGAAAAAATTCAATTATTTTAAAATTTATTGATAAAATTCTTTATGAGAATTCAATGTTAAGAAACATTGAAATATTTACTAAATTGTTTATGTTTGTATTTTAATAATTGAATTCTCGTAGAATTTTCTAATAACAATTGATTTAAAAATGAATTTTAGTTAAAATATTAGATAATAACTGAATATTAAAAGCATTATAGCATGACTCGAAGTGATTTGTGGCAACCCTATTAAAAAAATAATGGAATAAATAAAATTATAAAGAATTATCTCACTATAAAGATCGTATAATCCAAGGAGATCGTCATAATCTAATTGAAATCCAGAAGTGTATCCTTTATAATAGGGAAACATAATTGATGTCGGTATTGTTGAATGAGATAAACCTAAACTGTGTCCTAATTCATGAACAGCGACTGAAAAAAAATCCGTTCCATCCTCAGAATAATTGGAACTTATCTCCCATTTTTCATCATCGTCAAAATGAATATCGCCTCCAAATGAATCCATTTCATAGGGGAAGAAGGCGTGCGCCAAAATATTTCCCTGTCCATCGAAGGGATATCTAAAATAAATTCAAAAATACCTAAACTCAAAACATTTTTTTCTGATAATTTTTTTTTAAATGAATGATTAAATTAAATTGAATTTAAATTATTAAATTCATTATCGTTAAAAAAATTCCATACGCATAAAATTTTCTTTCAAAAATATTTTTTTTTAAATTAGTATTGAAATTAAAGAAATTACCCGTCGCCATGAGATCCTTGGCTGAAACTTATTGTAATATCTGCATTAGGATTGTCAATATTTTGAAAATTAAGTCTCGAATAATCAGTCCAGGCATTGAATGCTCTTTCCATTTCCTTAATTACAGATTCTTCTTTCAATTTTGGAGACCAATTGGCAATGCTGAATTAGTATTACCATTATTTTTATATTTTTTGTTTTTGTCTAAAAGACAATAAAAAACACAAAAAGAAAAGTTAATAATTACTAATAAGTGACTCTGCGCTTCCTCCATCCTTCGGAGCCGACAATATATCTTTTTTCTCGAGTTTTCGAATTTATTATATCTGCAACTCCACAACGTGGCATTTTCATCAACTTGAAAAACAAATTTTTTTAATTATTTGCAAGAAAATAATTTTTTCCCATTTTTTTTATTTACAAAAAAAAATAATTGCAAGGAAAAAAGTTTTAATTAGAAAGAGTAGAAATTCTTAAATAGAAAATTTTAAAAATAAAAACAAAAATAGAAAATTTAAATAAATTAAAAATAAGGATTTAATTTTAAAAAAAGAATAAAAGTTGCTTTTTTAATTAAATTAATGGATCAAAAAAAAATTACCTCTAAAGTTTTATTATCAATTTCTCCAGACATTGGAATATTTCCAAATTTTTGTAGACTTTTTATTGCATCGACCAAAGCACTTTCCTTATAAAGAGACTCTGACTTTTCACTCGCTGGCAAATATCCAAATCTTTTCATAAAATTTATCTGGAAAAAATATATTTTTATTCATTAACTATAACGATAATAATAAATACCTATAATTAATTAATTTAACTAAATAAGTTCTCAAAAAAAATAAAAAAAAAGATCCAGGAAATAAAATTTTTTTTTTATATTTTCAATTATTATATTATTAATTACCTACGTACCGATTTGGTCGACAGAAAAAGTCGTTGCATCAAAAGATTCGAAATATCAATTGGTGCCAAGTAAATAAATTGTATATTAAAATTAAAAATCAGACAAACAAAAATTAAAAATTGTCTCATTTTGTCACAATTTTTAAAAAATAATTTTAATTAATTCACTTTTTTTTGTTAACATAATTAATATGATTGATAAATTAATTTTTTATATTAATCGACTAATCAAATCAACTATTTGAAAAAATAGTAAAAACTAATTATTAAATTCAAAAATATTAATTTATTCCAATTTATTTATTTTTAAATTTTTTCCCCTCAATTTTCTTTTTTCTTTAATGAATTGCCGCCTTTTTTTTAATGCGAAAAATAAAAGTTGAAACAAGCATTCAACTCAGACAGCAATGAACAGACTGAAATAATTAAGTGTCTTGCAATTGTTCTCGAAAGAAAATGAGGCAAATAAATTTATATTTCTAGAATTTCATTCCATTGAATGAAAAGTTACAAAAGTGACTTTTAAAAATAAAGAAATTTTCTGAAAACAAAAATTGAAAACCTATTATCAAAAAATCTAATTACAAAAATTATTATATAATTTATACCATAAAAAAATGTCGAGAATTTCTTCTGAAACAATATCTGAATTAACAGATTCCGAATTTTCTTCTATAACTAATTCTACTTTAAAAAATTCCAATCTTTGTCCTTTTGTAAGTAAAAAATTAATTATTTCTCTTTCCCATTTAAAAAAAACATTTTGTTCTGTCGTTTTTGTTTAAAACTTGAAAGAATTTGTTTTATGTGTTTTATATTTAATTTTGTATTTTAGTTTTTATTTAACTTTACATTTTATTTTATTTTGTATTTTATTTTGCATTTTATTTTGTACTGCATTTCGTATTTTTTCCAGAATATAAAATGGATTTTTGGAATGAATTCTACAGTGACAGTAGTAAATTTAACAACGAAAAAAAGACCTCTGATTGGTTATGCTTCATCGTATGTTTGTGACAATTTTGTACGATTATTGTTCGAGAGAAATGTTTACACTCCAAGGACACGTTAGATAAAATATTATACCTATGTAAATTATTTTTTATAACCATTTTTCTCAATTGTCGAACGAAATAAAAACATTATCGATAAATTCAAATGGAAAATATCTGCTTTCGGCTGATTTTGGAAAAAATTCAACTACTATCATAATTTGGGACACAGAAGAATGGTGTAACGAGATATTGTTTGACTAAATTCTTTATTGGATAAATTTAAATTTAAATTAAATTCGTCGAAAGAATTCAATTACTTTCAAAAATTTTCGTACGCAATTCTTTATAAGAATCCAATTATTATTTTCATTAAATTTATTTTCTTTATAAAAATAATACAAATTCTCCCCAAAAAATCAATTATTTTCATAAATAATAAAATTCTTCTCAGGGAATCAATTATTTAAAAAAATGTTAATAAAGTTCTTGGCAAACATTTTATTATTTTTCATTGAATAGCAAAATTCTTTGCAAGAATTCAATTACTTTTAAAAATATTAATAACAATTTTTACAAGAATTCATTTATTTAAAAAAGAATACAATTTTTCGTAAACATTCAATTTTTTCCAAACTTTAATAAATTTCTTTAAATGACTTCAATTATTTTAGAAAGTTGTAGTAAAATTTTTGAAAGAATTCAATTCTGTCCAAAAATATTTAATACATTGAATACAAAATTTTTTAATTGCAATTATTAACAAACTGGATAGCATTGAATTTTTTAAAATTTTAATAAAATTCTATGCAAGAATCAAAGTATTTTAGATTCAATTTAAAATAAAAATTTACTTAGTAACGCAACATTATGAAAAAAATGTCTAAATTTTTCTTGCAAACATAGTACAATGAAATTATGATTTTTAATTTGAAACAATTTCGTTGTAATTTTTGTTATTATTTGATTTTCACAAACATTAAATTAGAATTTAATTAATTAAAAAATGTTAAACATTAAAAGAAAATTTTAATAGTAATAAGATAGTCGTAAATGAGTTTAATTAAGAATTTTAATTGAAATTATTACTATTACTTTTTATTTTAATAATAATACTGCATTATTAATTAATAATTATTCAGTAATTATTATTATCGTCAGAGTTAAAAAGTTACAATAACTATTATTATTAAAAAATAGTTTTAGTATCAATCGAACTAAGTGCCATTAAAAAGGACCGAGTCAAAGATATTAGCTTCAATGACAACAATTCAGATCAATTTATTCTTACACTCAAGAATCATGTACTGTTTGTCACATGGGTCTGTATAAACATATCAAAAACATTCAATAAATTAATTTATAAAAAAAAAAATTTCGTTGAATCTAATTCAAATTTATCTGTAGGGGAGGGTAGGCTACATTGATCGGGTTTTTTATAAAGTCCAAGAACTAATTAAATTTTACAAATTTTGATCAGGTTTTTGTATGAAAATAAAACTGAAGTACTCCTTTAGTTAATACACACGTTACAAACACAAATTATTATGATTAAATAATGAAATTTAATTTTTTTCTAACCAGCTACACTTTTCTTATTTTGAAGGATGTGTGTCTACATTGAACCACCTCTAATAAAACACTACAATTTACTTGGAAAATAATATTTCCACCGAGGTTTTTACTTTTTTTTAATATTAAAATTTTTTTAAATTTTTTGGAATTACCCTAAAAATGTATTGATTTTAACTTTTTTATTATTTCTATATTCAGAAAGAATTCATAATTTTGCTTTTGTCTAAAAATTTCAATCAAATAATAAAAAAAAATTTTTTTTTAGTACAAGTTCAGAATTATTTGCAGTAGGACAAAAAAAGTTTGTGGAACATTTTTGGGTCCAACATTCGGAACACCTGTGAGAATTATGAAAGTAAACATTATGACTATTACTACCAAAAGTTACGCGCGCTAGCATGCTGAACGTGATATTCCATTTATTATTATTATTATTATTATTATTATTATTATTATTATTATTTTTTTTTTTTTTTTTTTTTTTTTTTTGCTTAGGGACTTTTGGGAAATCTGCTTACAGATACCTTGGATTCCGCACTCCAAGGTTATGTGGGGTTGGTGTGATAAAACAAAAGTAGATAAAAAAAAGAAAAATAAATATATAAAATAGTAAATTTAATAAACTGGCGACCTACTGCCAGCCCGACCCACTAAAACCCGTAACCCTTCTTCTGGAGCCCTTTACCCTCCCTCGGAACTGTCGTAAGACTTTAGCCTTCGAGGGTGGCGCTCCAACTCTGTCGCTAATGCGACTTTCTGCTTTTCTCTGCGGTTATCCTGCGTTAATAGTTAAAAATTTAAAACTATTTCAATATAAAAGCGGAATTAACAGCACAACAATAATAAAACAAATGTTTAATTAAGTGTAAACAGTCAAAAGATAAAATTGCAAACGGATATATAAAAAAAAAGAAAAAATAAACGCGTATAAAATATTGAAAACATAAAACTGTACAAAGATGAATAAAAAAAAACACAAACAATTAAAAAAAATGTATAAGGACAAATAAATCACAAAATAAATTAATAAAAAACAAACGATCAAAATTAAAAGCTGTTTAAATTACGCTTTTTGGCGGCCGTCGAGATCCTTCCTCGACATAACCGAGATTATGAAGTTCTCGACTTGCCGCCAATTCTCTTCCGACTGAGTCATCAGCGATACCATGTTCTCCGGTGTAACTTGACTGTTTATACCTTCGAACATGGCCCGCCTCTCCAAGTCCCATTTCTTGCATGAGAAGAGGGTGTGCTCCGCGTTGTCCTCAGGGAACTGGCAATATGCACACACCTCGTTCTCGCGTAATTTAAAGCGACACAGGTACGAGTTAAAACACCCGTGACCTGTAAACGCCTGAGTCAAGTAATAGGAAACCTGACCGTGTTTCCTATTTATCCAGGTGGCGAGTGCCGGGATAAGGCGATAAGTCCATCGACCTTTTTCCTCACCATCCCATCTTTCTTGCCATCTTTCTATGAGCCTGTGCCTCGCTTCTTTGCGGATCAGGCCCTTGCTTGGTCTTAATTCCTCATTCAAGGAACTGCTTTCTTTAGAAAAGAGAAACATTTCTTCCCTTTCCCTCGCCAAAAGATCTGCTGGCGGGACACTTGCAAGGACCTGCACAGCACTCGTAGATACCGTCTTATATGCAGAGATGATACGCGTTGTTATCGATCTCTGCGCAGACAGTATCTTTTCACAGATGGTCACACATCTTTTACTCCTCAGGGATGGGGCCCACGCTGGTGCTGCATAGAGCATTTTAGCGTGGGCGACACTCGCCACCAGTCTTCTTTTTTGTTCACGGGGTCCGCCAACATTTGGCATTAACCGTGAAAGATTAGCCGCACACTCGATCGCCTTATTTGACGCCGTAGCCATGTGGTGGTGGAAGTTTAACCTTCCATCCAACTCCACACCAAGGTATTTAATTTGTTTACTCCACTTGACCTCGAATCCGTCTATCACGATTCGTGGGAGCTCATAACCACGTCTGTCTGTGACCAGCAGTGCCTCGGTCTTTTCCAGGGCCATTTCAAGACCTCTGGTATCCAGCCAGCTTTTTGCTAGTCGCAGACATTCGTTCACCAATGTCCCAAGAGCCTCCTCACTCTCGGCAGTGCACACGAACAACGCGTCGTCCGCAAAGCCGATGATCATCGCACCTTCGGGCAGATCCATTCGCAGAAAATCATCGTAAGATACATTCCATACAAATGGACCCACCCTCGAGCCTTGAGGAGCCCCACGCTGCATCTCTTCCCTGAGAGTGCAGGTGTCTCCCTCATATATAACCCACCTGTCGCTAAGATAATTATCCATTATCCGCAACAAGTAGGGCGGCATGTTTTTCTTTTCCATCGACTCGATGAGATCTTTCCATCTTGCGGAATTAAACGCGTTGCGTATGTCAATTGCTACCAACGCGCAGAAGCTCTTCTTTTTCCCAGGTCCCAATTTGTTTTTTCCTGCTTTGGCTATGTCCACAACTGCCTGGATGGCATCAACTGTGGACTTGCCTTTACGGAAACCAAATTGGTAATCGGATAGACGATTCTCTTCGGTCAAGTGGCCCTGCATTCTCTG